GCATCTGCCTTTTTCTTTTAGCAAAATTAGCCCTAAGGATAATGAAGACATCATCACACTTTTCAAAATGAAATTTAAAGCAACAGAGGATATCACGAAGGGAAAGGGAGTTAATTTTAATAAGAGAAAAGTAATAAAAATCAAAATGAAATTGATATTTAAAGGGTAAATACCTTTACTATGTGATCCAAATATAAAAATTGTTATGATAAACACCTCTATGGAAAAAAATGAGCAAACACAAAACGACAGTCCCTCGAAAAGGAAATAAAAATGGTTAATGAATATATGAAAAAGCCCAACTCAGTAAAATAAGAAATGCTATAAAAAATGACACTTTTTCTCCTAGTAGATTAAAAAATATGAGAACAGATAATATTCAGGGTTAGCAAGAGTGCAGAGAAATACACTCTGCTGTACACTGGTGGGAGGATAATTCAATAAAATGATTTTGGATCAGTAATTATCAATTATATAACAAAAAACTTAAAATTGTTCATATTATTTAGTTATATCTAGGTATTTCTCCTAAGGACTGAAATCAGAAATGAAGATGAGGGTATTTTTTTATGGAGATGATTATAGGGAAATATGTATCATAAAAACATGAAAATAGTATAATGTATAATAATATATAATATACCATAAGATACAGCATATATTATGTTTCATAGTATAATATATAATAATAGTGTAAAAGGTTAAATGAACAATGAAATAGCCATATGAATTCCAAAATTGATGTCACATTACATTAAAAAAATACACGAGATGTAGCATAATCAGATACATTTCAGTTGCACATACGTGAAGGAAATGTGCAAAAATATCAATAATAAGTTTCACTTGTGAAATTATGAAAGTGCTTATCTCTATTTTTATACTAAATTGTTTTCTATTTCAATATAAAATGACAAATATAGAAATCATAAAGGCTTACATTTTTAGGGGAGAGGAAAAGAAATTTCATTGTTAATATTTAGGTCTCCAGAGTACAGAGGGCCTATGGAAATTTCTTAACTGCAGCAGTACAGTGTTGTTAGTTACAGCTTGTCTGATAACTGTAGGAAGTTATCAGATCTTCCAGTTACCAGGAAGATTCCTGCTAAACTCAGATCCTTCATTGACCAGAATTTCTGTCATCTATGATTCCATTCAAGTTTCTTTTAATTAAAATTCCTTTTATCAGACTTCCCTGGTGATGCAGTGGTTAAGAATCCTCCTGCCAATGCAGGGGACATGGGTTCGAGCCCTGGCCCAGGAAGATCCCACATGCCACGGAGCAACGAAACCCATGCGCTGCAACTACTGAGCCTGCACTCTAGAGACTGCGTGCCATGACTACTGAGCCCACACGCCACAACTACGGAAGCCCAGGTGCCTAGAGTCCATGCTCCACAACCACAACAAGAGAAGCCACCACAGTGAGAAGCCTGTGTACTGCAACGAAAGTAGCCCCCACTCGCTGCAAGTAGAGAAAGCTCACGTGCAGCAATGAAGACACAACGCAGCCAAAAAATAAAAATTTCTTTTATCATCTTTAGGCAAACTGAAAATTTTTGACTCCAATTTTATGGCAAATTCTCTATTTTCCTGAATCAACTTTTGACCTTCAACATGACATCATGCCACTAGATTCCATGAATTTGGTATACAGAAATGGTTTGTTATACAGAAATTACAGAGAAATAGATAACTAGAACAGAAATTGAGTGGTGCTGTAACACAAACCTAAAACACACAGCATTAATTTTGAGACAAGGTGGCAGCTGGAGACCAGAAGGGCAGTGAGAAGAATCAGTGAAAACAGGAAAAACAGTAAAGAAATTGTTTTTGAGGACTGGAGAAAAGAGGACTCACAATAATTACTATTGGAACAATAAGCTTAACTATTGCCTGAAATAAATTTGAAGATAGAAAATATACCTATAAACTTGTGGATCTGGCTAAAGGGATATCCAAGCAAACAGTTGATAGTGTTATTTGTAATCTTTTAGCCATACATAACATGGTATTATAAGAGAGATGAGCTAAAGAAAGAACAATTCAGTTTTCAAGTAGAATTTAGAAGATATATTGCTAACTCAAGACTTTCTGGGTTGGAAAATAAAAGTTTCACATTTACAGCATCTCCAGCTGGCAAAAGATTTTCCAAGTTAAGACACTGTTTCAAGAAAAAGAACAGATTAAGGATTCTGTCTGCAAGACAAGATCAAATCAAAGATGTAGCGCTAAGACACAGTATTAAGACCTCAGAAAGATTTCAGAGATCCTCTCAATTATATAAAAGTTCTACATCTTAAATGTGTCCCACAGTATCCTAACTCTTATGTAACACTAGAGAGAGTGTCCTGTCTTGAAAACACAGGACACTGTTTCTAGTGGGTATGTATTTTATTGAAGAGGATTGATAGGGACAGAATAAAGGGACAAAGTAGGTGATTAAACAGTTAATCCCACTAGGGGATTGTAAGTAGAGAAAAGTAGAGAAAAAAAGTATGGGAGACCCCCATAAGTTAATGATCATTCAAGAAAGCAGGTTTGCTTAACCACAAAACCATGGAGGCTTGTTTAGCAACAAAACCATGCAATAGAAGCATGAGACATGCCCCCAAACAATAAACAATGATGGCATGAGACCCACATCCTGCCCAAGGGGCTTAGTAGGTTAATGATTCCTAGGACACACTCCTCTGCACACACTAAAAACAAAAATATAGAGAAAAGGTAACATTATACTAAAACGTGAGATGATTTACCATTTTTACCATATGTTACCACCTTTTTTGCTCATTTCCATTGCACCACCGACAGTCCTGGCTTGACCAGGTAGGGACAAGAAAACTCCCCCACACAACATGGAGGAGGAGCTGATGATAGAAGCTTGCCATCTACTCAAGAATGAGGAAGAAGGTGGTCTTCTCTCCCTACTCACTTTTCCTTTGATTATAAAACTGTAGCCCAGTAAGTTCGTGGCATGGCACCCTCTTGCCCACTTGCTTGTAAGCTTCACAGGTCTCCCATTCTAATAAATCACTTCTTATCTATCAATTTGCCTCTCGCTGAATTCTTTCTGCACTGAGGCATAAAGAACCAGAGCTCCTCGGAGCACCCCCCCCCCCCCCCCCGCCCCCGCACAGAATGCCACCTACTGGTTTCGGGATGGAATTATAATTTGGTACACAGAAATATCACACAAAAAAATTTAAGAGTTGTAGCAGCTTAAAATAAAAGTGGAGGAAAGAGTTCAACCAATAGCTTACAACACCATGCTCTATTTTAAATTGCCTATCAGGCTATTTCTAGTATATACAGTTCAGTATTATTTTCAAATGATAATAAGCATAAAATTATTATAGCTAACATTTACTGAGCACTTTTTAAATACCAAGCATTGTGCCGAGATCATTTATAGAATATCCCACTAACTCCTCAAAAAAAAAAAAAAAAAACCAAAAACAAACACAAAAAACCTTTTAAACTGTTCAAACATTTTGATCCACACCTAGATTTTCATTCCAGGAACTTTATCACAAAAAAGAGATGACATATTTATATGGTGATACTCAGAGCAACACTATTTATTAGAATAAAATCATGGAGAAGCCTCAAAGTCTAATGAAAGAGGAAAGTTAAATTGAGAATCTTTCACATGATGGCTTATAATGTATCAATTGAAGCATATGAGTCACTATAACTATTGCTTTCATTTTTAATGTAAAAAAAATCTAAGGATTGGTCAGGTTATGCTGTCCAAAGTCACACAGAAATTGGTAGATGAAAGATTTCAACCCTGGAATTATGACTTCAGAAAGCCCACTCCCAAGCACTGTACCACCTTCCTTATATTGGATCAAATTACAATTTATAAAAGAAAGTAAACACTACTATCATATCTTATGCATTGAGAAACTTCACTCTGCAACAGAGCACATCCTACTTGTAATCTTGTGAAAAGTATTACAAGATTTACAGGGAAACACACCCTTAGAGGTGACATACACTCATTTCTGGGTATGTTCCCAGAGGAGAAGACTATGGGCTTCTGACTCAGCCTTAGCCAGACAGTGGATATCTTGATCCCAGCTGCCACCACATTGCCTGTTTCAGTGCCAATGAGCTTTATCTGGGTCCCAGATGACAGAGAGAGAACAGGTCATAGGAGGGCATCTTTTATGTTAAGGAGGCTTTCGTGAAACCCGAGAAGGCCTGCTGGTTTGTGTTGAATAAGGCAGATATTCAGCTACACTGTCTTATCTAAATGCCTTTACCAAACTTTTGCTTTATAATTTAAAATAAATGCCTATAGATTTCTGCTTTGTTAAAAACAGAAGAAATAGAGAAAAATGATGACACTAAAAAAATCTACATTAATGAAGAGCTATAGCTGAGATCTGAGGCACATACAAGAGTAAAAGATCTTGTTATGGTTCCCATAGCAACTGCAACACAGTTGCATTTCACTTTTATGTTAAGTACGTTTAACTTGAGTGGGAATGCAAAATACTTCCTCTGAGCCAAAAAGAGAATTATGGAGAACACAGAGACCAGGTTCCAGACTATTCTGGCTTTCAAGTATGTCAAATATTAACCCTAATATGTATTAACATTTTCCCATCAATACTATATGTTCATTTGTATTGATTTTAAACTACCTTTATTCAATTTATAAAATATAATTATCTAAAATGGGAAGAAGTCCCATTAAAATCCGTTAAATCAGAAACCATAACTTTACAATTCATACATATAGGGGCACTGTCCTGCTTGTAATTATAAGAGAATATTGGCTGAAAGTACAATCTATGAAAATACAATCTGATTCCATTCACTGCCAAGTGTTTTAAGCTTGACATTTTTAATTACTGTAGATATAATCTGAAGCTATATAAACAAACACATGGTGCTTTAAGCAAAGGATATACATAAAAATTTTCAAGACATTTGTAGTTTGCATATTTTTCTCTATTTCAATAATAAAAAGCAGGGAGGGTACTTACTCCTGTTATGTAACGAGGTCTATATTGAATAGTTCCAAATAAACCAAGAATGACGATAATAATATGTACAAAATTTGCCAGGATAGGTGCCCACTGATATCCAAGGAAGTCAAATATTTGCCTCTCCAGCACACAAACCTAGAAGAGCAAAACAGGATATATAGATAAGCACAGTGATGAGAGAAAATAAAGGATCACACCGACATTATAATTAGCAATTGTAACTGTGTTACCATATCTGGCATTTGTCTTTAACAGTGAGAAAGACATTTTTAGGTATATTTCAAAGGAAGTCTATGGAAGCCGTGGATCCAGAGACCGGTACAATCCTTTCAGGGATGATTTTATGAAGGCATCAAGTAGTATTCACAGGATGTCATCTGTGCAGTCACAGGATAAATTATATTGTCATATGCACTGTCAAACACTTGAAGTCATCAACCAGCAAGTTCGGGAAATGACGTCCACACCAAGGGCTTGTTGTTAGGATCTGTTCAAAAAAGGGGGTTGATGGAGAGGAAAAAGAATTCTTCGGCAAGTCAAGAGACCAGATTCTGGATGTCGACCTGCCACTAGGCAGCTGTAGTGCCCCAGGTAAGTCATTTCCTTCCTCTGGGAGTCTGATTTGATTACTCATTTGTAAAATGTAAGACTTTGACTAATGTCTAGGGTCCTTCTAACTTTAATAGTACTAGATTATAAATCAAATGTGACTTAAAAAAAAATCATATCCAGTTACCTATAGTAACCAGGAAAAAGAAGCGCCCTGAAAGAAACTTAAAACAATTTTTTATTTTAAAAAATAAAAATAAAGCATCACTGTTATAAAAACAAGAAACTTAGGGCATTTGAAATTCTTCCATATTCATCTGTGTTTACAAGTTTACAATTAAGTCATATGTAAACAGTGGGGGAAAAAAAGCAAAACCAATCAACCAACCAACTCACCGACCAACCAAACAACACCCTGAGATTGGTCAGTAGTCCAGAAGTGCCACTTTATATTGACAAGTGAAACCTGAATAGCTGACAAGCCTCTCATCAGATCTAACAAAGCAAAAGGGAATGGCGTGAATTAAACTCAGCTTTATTTTTCCTGCCTGCCCTTAGGTGGAATGATAACAAGCTGTCTGTTCCTAGTAAAACACTGTAAAAGGACCTGATGTTAAGCACGGAGATTCAACAATTGTTTTTCAATGAACTTTTAAAGGAAAATGATTTTAAAACCCCTAAGTCACTAACTATGCTTTATCACTCTGCTTTAATGATATTTCTTTTCAGAAGGACACACTAACTCTTCAAACAGACGGTTTGCTTTTAAATTAAATACCTGTAGCCTAGGTTTGAAGACTTCTTGAATGACCATTATTCCCACTGCAGTTCTTTAACTGACAGCACATTTTCTCATCAGGCATTGAAGGAGAAAATAAACTCATGACAACTGTTTGCATGACACCTCTATTTCCTAAGACACACCAGGTACCATGTTACATTGTAACAGTAATAGTCCAGCCTAAACAAATCTTAAGTTTCACTTAGTCCTGGCAGTGAATAAAAAAAAAAAAAGAGAGGATCTAGGTCCAGGTCTGTTCTACGCTACATATTCTAAATCCAAAATACCCACCAGAGTCCCAACAGTGGAGTTCAATATTCTGATTGATTAACAAACAGACTGTCATGGAATATGCACATAACCCAAGCCTCATAAACTTTGAACTGTCTCCTGATGAAACATTCCTTCAATTGTTATCATGCAGTCAACACTCCTTATAAAGGAGGCCCATTTGTGATGTTAAGCAATATTACGTATGCCTTGCTGGAATTCATCAACATTACCAAAAGATAAGTGGTTGTTCTCAGCATTGCTAATTGTCTATATAAAAGCTCCCTCTAACACAGAACTCTCTTATCTTTATCCTATGAATAAACAGTAAGTACAAATGTAAAACAGCAGCAAGAAGAATTTAAACTCTATAAATTTTGAGCATCATAACTGTGGGGACACAGCAGGGAAAAGGTATAGAGGATGAAGTGCATCAGTCAAACAGTGGGAAATCCCCCAATAAATGCTCCAATTATGGAAGAAAAGAGCAAGTACCATCGTTAATTACAACAAATATATACAGAATAATATACTCACTAAGTCTGCAAGGCTAAAATGAAGTTGCATCAACATTTATCAGTCTTCTTTTATGACAGAACTAATGGTTTCACCAAACATTACTTATGAAGTTATGCAGGCTGAACAAGCTAATGTGCAGTTCTTCACTTATAGTATTTCTGCTTTTTCCTCCTCTTTTTGATGGGCTCCTTAGTCATCCTAAGTAGCTTTATCACAGGTTTTACTGTTTAGAGCTAGGGCTGAAGAATGGAAGATTTCAGTAAGTATAAAGGGAATTAACAATTTACAGAGTAGGTACAGTCTTTCCTAAGAACTCCTTCCAACAGGATGTATATTAACTATGAAATCACTAGGAGGTTGTGGAGTTAGAGGAAAGAGAATGTTTTCTTTTTTAATTGAATTGAATTTTTAAAAATTAAAGTATAGTTGATTTACAATGTTGTGATAGTTTCAGGTATACAGCACGGTGATTCAGTTATACACACACACACACACACACACACACACACACATATACATATATATTCTTTTTCAGATTCTTTTCCCTTATAGGTTATTACAAAATAATGAGAATAATTCCCTGGCTATACCATAGGTCCTTGTTGACTCTCTATTTTATATATAGTAGTGTGTCTATGTTAATCCCAACCTCCTAATTTATTCCCTCCCCTTTGATAACCATAAGTTTTTTTCTATGTCTGTGAGTCTCTTTCTGTTTTGTAAATAAGTTAATCTGTATCCTTTTTTTTTTAAGATTCCACACGTAAGTGATATCATATAATATTTGTCTTTCTCTGTCTGGCTTACTTCACTTAGTATGATAATCTCTATGTCCATCCACGTTGCTGGACAGTATTTCATTCAATTGGTATTCACTTCAAATGGCAGTATTTCATTCTTTTTTATGGCTGAGTACTATTTGTTAAAACACTTACTACATGCCAGACTTTCATACTATTCCTTGGTCATATATCGCCTTATTGAATCTGCACAAAACCCAGAGAAGTAAATATTATTGTCTTATTTTTCAGACTAAGAAATCTAAGATGTAGTGTGGCTACGTGATTTTCTTGCAGTCTCAGAAGTGGTAAGTGGTCCAACAGGAATGTAGGCGTATGTGCATGCCCTGTGCTGTGTCCTTGCTTTAGAACTCTTGCCACATCTAGTCCAAAAAGAGAAAGCTTTCACAGATTTTGCTGGAGGCATAGGCCGGGTACAGGATATATGCTACATTTTTACCTTATTTATTGTAGAATAGTATAGAGAATCTCTTTGATCATACTTGTCACCTCATAACATTATATCATCACTGGTCAAGGCAGAGTTCCTTTTTGTTTTGTTTTGTTTATTTTCTTATTTGATTCCAACAACCCATGCTCTCAATGTTATTCCCCTATCACCCACTGGACTCTAATATACTTATTTTATGTCCTTTGAAACACCTGACATACAAATAGATGCATACAGCCTTGAAAAACATTACTGCTGTTGTTTGTGTGTGTGGCATTTTCACATAAAAGGTCTTAGGGAATAAATCTCTTTCATGCTTGTCTATTTTGCTAATTTTACATAAATTTTTTAAATGTTTTTTATTTTCTTATTAGTCATCCATTTTATACACATCAGTGTATACATGTCAATCTCAATTGCCTAATTCATCACACCCCCACCCCCACCCCCACCTGCTTTCCCCCCTTGGTGTCCCTACGTTTTTTCTCTACTTCTGTGTCTCAATTTCTGCTCTGCAAACCAGTTCATCTGTACCATTATCTAGGTTCCACATATATGCGTTAATATGCAATATTTGTTTTTCTCTTTCTGACTTACTTCACTCTGTATGACAGTCTCTACAAGCATCCACGTCTCTACAAATGACCCAATTTCGTTACTTTTTATGGCTGAGTAACATTCCATTGTACATATGTACCACATCTTCTTTATCCATTCGTCTGTTGATGGGCATTTAGGTTGCTTCCATGACCTGGCTATTGTAAATAGTGCTGTAATGAACATTGGGGTTAATGTGTCTTTTTGAATAATGGTTTTCTCTGGGTACATGCCCAGTAGTGGGATTGCTGGGTCATGTGGTAATTCTATTTTTAGTTCCTTAAGGAACTTCCATACTGTTCTCCATAGTGGCTGTATCAATTTACATTCCCAACAACACCCTCTCCAGTATTTACTGCTTGTACATTTTCTGATGACGCCCATTCTAACTGGTGTGAGGTGATACCTCACTGTAGTTTTGATTTGCATTTCTCTAATAATTAGTGATGCTGAGCAGCTTTTCATGGGCTACTTGGCCATCTGTATGTCCTCTTTGGAGAGATATCTATTTAGGTCTTCTGCCCAATTTTGGATTGGGCTGTTTGTTTTTTTAATATTGAGCTGCATGAGCTGTTTATATAATTTGGAGATTAATCTTTTGTCCAATGATTCATTTGCAAATATTTTCTCCCATTCTGAGGGTTGTCTTTTGGTCTTGTTTATGGTTTCCTTTGCTGTGCAAAAGCTTTTAAGTTACATTAGGTGCCATTTGTTTACTTTTGTTTTTATTTCCATTACTCTTGGAGGTGGATCAAAAAATATCTTGCTGTGATTTATGTCAAAGAGTGTTCTTCCTAACTTTCCCTCTAAGAGTTTGATAGTGCTCAGTCTTACATTTAGGTCTCTAATCCATTTTGAGTTTATTTTTGTGTATGGTGTTAGGGAGTCTTCTAATTTCATTCTTTTACATGTAGCTGTCCAGTTTTCCCAGCACCACTTATTGAAGAGACTGTCTTTTCTCCATTGTATATCCTTGCCTCCTTTGTCATAGATTAGTTGACCAGAGGTGCGTGGGTTTATCTCTGGGCGTTCTATCTTGTTCCGTTGATCGATAGTTCTGTTTTTGTGCCAGTACCATATTGTCTTGATTACTGTAGCTTTGTAGTATAGTCTGAAGTCCGGGAGTCTGATTCCTCCAGCTCTGTTTTTTTCCCTCAAGACTGCTTTGGCTATTCAGGGTCTTTTGTGT